AGCTGCACGGGGCACTGCCCTTTGCTCCAGAACCCAGAGTGCAGCCGTTGCGAGGGGCTGGCTCAGCCTTTCCCTGCCGCAGCGCCCAGGGTCCCGCGCAGCCTTTGCCTCCGTTGCGTAGGTCTGGGTGTGGGGAGCACGGGGTACACGGCAGCACAGGGACGGGCCCATCACATCCCGCTGCTGGAAGCTGGAGCGGGAGCGTTTGCTCACTCTAACCTCGCCGTCTCTTTTCCCCTTGCAGGACATGGCTGCAGGACTCCAACTCAGCGTCGCCGACACGAGGATGATGATCTCTGCAGCGGTGATCGAGTAATGGCCCCAGCTCTGCCCCGGGGCCCCCGAGGGGACGTGTCCCAGTCGCAGCAGGGGAAGGAGAGGCAGAGTGGGCCAGGGGATTTCTGAGCTTTTATGGGTTGAGCACTGCAGAGGGAACATGTAAGTCGCTGCTTATTACAGCTTATTCCACACAGCTCCTGTGCTGCTCTTTGTTTTCCAGGGATCTCGAGCTCAGCCTGGCTGCCTCCGACGTGGGTCCTGTGCCGGTAGGTGCCCCCAGCCACACAACCCCCAAGTGACCAAGCACAGCCACATCCCCTCCTTGTGCCACGCTGCTGTCACGTGCTGAACACAACAGCTCTCACCTCAGCACCATCCCCAAACAGCCTGGTCCCCTCCACTGCCCCAGGCAGCCTAGGCCTGCCCCAGCCATCCCAGGCCACGGGTATCAGCAGGGACAGAGGGTGCTGGGTGTCCCATGCGGAAGGGAGAGGCAGGTCCAGGCAGGATCAGGAGAGGTGTGGGGAGCATCAGGACCCCCCTCTTGCTGGTCCCAGCCCCTCTCCTCCTGCTTTGGCATCACACCATGAGCGAGCTGACCGTGGGTTTCCCTCTGACAGGCTGCCTTGCTGGAGGAGTTATTTTTGCCCACGATCCGTGAGGAGGTCCCAGCTCAGATGAACGGTGAGCTTTGCAATGGTGCTGCCATGGGGGACGCACGACGAGGACGGTGGCAGCACCAGGTGGCAACTTCCCCTCTTTTTTTTCCCCAGTGGTCCTGAGCGAAGGCGTTTTCCTGCCCCACATCTCCAGCTTTACCTACACCAACGTCAACGTCGTGATTCACAAGGTAAGAAATTAGACATTTCAATTGGTCATTGGTGTGTTTGATTTAAAGAGGAGACTCGGGAGCAATGCTCACCTCCTGGCTCCAGAATTCACGGGAGCCTGCGCCTCTAGACCTGCCAACCCCCAGAACCAAGGTTCATGGCTATAAAAAAGCGACAGCTCCTCTCCAGCCCCGCTGACACGAGCGGCGGCAGCACCAGAGGAGACCCCAGCGCGGGCTGACGTGAGCTGCACCAGCACCTTGCTCAGCCCCTGTTCCTCCCCTGGCTCAGGACTACGTCTTGGTCACCTGCAACCTCGAACTCCAGGAGAGGACAGGAGAGCAGAACACCATGGGCTGAAGTCCAGCGTCCGAAGTAAAACAGTGGCAAAATTGTTCTGTTCGTTCTTAAATCATGCTTTGTGTTTTGTCACTGCTCAAAATGTTGAAAATCATTTTTTGCCTTGTTAAAACAACCCTGTCACAGATGTAGGACAGCAGCAGCATTGCACGAGCAGCTCTCACTCCCAGTCCTGCTCGCTGTATCTTTGGTGCACAAAGAGGATGGATTGTAACGACGTTCCAAACCTTAATTAAACATTTCCCTTTCATGCTGCATTTTCTGGTACGACTATTGACTTTTTTTCCCCTCAATGATTTGGACCTAAAGACAGATGAATTTTTCTCTCACTAAGAACTGGTACCAGTACAGATGTCTAGACCTTACATTTAATTAAGGGAGCATAAAAATTCCACTAATTTATAAGGATGCAAAGCAGCCCCGTGCTTTTCAGCCGCAGAACAACAGGGCCCCAACCAACACGAGATCTTTCATCTGCTTTTCCTCCATTTCTCGTGTTACTATGGGAACATTACAGCTGGTGGTTTTCCCTGGGTCAGAAAGAAGGGTGGGAAAAAAAAAGAAAAGAAATCAGTCTGCACAGTGGTTTCTAATTTTAGACTTGAAGGCAATTGCATTTTCAAAACTGTATTTCTGACAAAGCTCATGACAGAGAAAACACCGAGTGAAAGGTGACTGCAGACGTACGGACAGTGCCACGCGCCCGCCCCAGGGCACCCCCACCCACCCTTCCCAGTGTTGGGATGCTCTTTCCTACTGGCTCTGCACCAGAGAGGTTGTTCAGCAAGTTAAAGGGGAGAAAAATACCTACAACAGACCTGAGCATCCGAAATGGAACAGTACCAGAGCTCCGAAAGTTGCCCGGGTGGCTCCATCACTGGGTGCTGTTGGCTGCTGCCTCCAGCCAGGGCGAGCGCGTCGCTGCGCCAGTGCCCGGGAAGGGAACCCTGACCAGGGGCTGCTGCTCACACCTCAGCGCTGCGATGGTGATGCCCAGGAAACCCTATTAATTACACCTACATCTGCTTTCACTTGCCGCAGCTCTACACATCATTTCTAGCCTCTGGAGCTGCTGAAAAGCACTTCCAAACCTCCTGTTTCAGAGCCTCACAAATAGGAAAGCAAACAAAACAAGTCAAGTTGATTTATTATAAGGAGTAAAAAACCCTGAAGGTTTATATGCCCAGCTTGGGGACCTGACTAATGATTTTAATGCCTGAAGTTGGCAATAGTGGGAACTGCTCCTAATAAAAGTTTCCTGGTAGAGCTGCAACCATGATTCTTTGACTAATACATCTTAAACCAGTTTCCCAAAAGGAATAAGCTACAGCAGTAAAATATGTATTTATTTGCCAGTGGATATTCTGGCTTTGGGCTTTACCACGTGGCTCCACATCTCCAGTGTAATGTCGGAGTCACGGGAGCGGCACAGCCCGACCCCCAGCCCCACACGTCCTACCTGCAACACCCCACTGAGATGCTGGAAATCAATGCAACAACCAAGGGCTTTGGCCCAGCAGATACTGAGCTGTTCCCAACTTCAGGCAGAAATGCAGAACAGGACCTTGCCCCGGCCGTTACCCACTCCGGGCCAGACTTCTTCCACCCATCACCCGAGCTTTAGCCGTGACATACCACCACCAGCTCTGGGGACACCAGCCATAAATAACACCCTAGTAATAACATCTCATGCTGGGGAAAAAAGGCCATTTAAGACCTCAGGTTTATTTATTTTTTACCCACTCGTTTTTCTGAAATAAAAAAATGCCTGAACTCTTCTCCCTGTGACGTGCAGAAACCAGCTGACTGACATCAGGCTAAGCAGACGTGGACTATGGCCAGCAGATGGTGAGCTCCAGCGTTATTCTACCTCTCAATTAGCTGGTAATGAGGTTTTCCCTTCAGATTCCATTAGAAAATGCTTCATGACCTTTGGAAATTCCATTTCATTCTGATTTCTGTTTGTGGATTCACATTTGGTCAGGAGATGACCCAAGTGAGGAGTTGCCACTGAATAGCCAAGTGGTTTTTTTTCCTCAGGAAGCTTGAATGGAAAAAGCTTTCAAACCAAAACCAAAAATTATCAGTTGTCACGAAGGAAGCAGATCCCATAGCAGGAGGCAGGACAGATTCTCTCCCTGAGAAGCACCAGAAACCAGAATCTCATTCCAAGCACTAAAAAAGTAGGAGTGTTTATTAAGAGAGTTACATGACAAATGTATCCCGAGCTCCCGCTCAGCACTTCATACCCTTCTGAACGCCGATGGTGACACTGACTTAGAGAGCTGTGTGCAACAAGTTCACTTTTCATTATATGAAGATCAATTTTCTCTCAGAACAAATTTAACAATTCCACTGCAGCATCACATGCAACTGCCATCACTGTGACCCCAAAATAATCCTAATTTCTCCAAATAAATATTTGTACACAGAGCTGCCGATCGGGCCTTGGCTTATGCAAGTATCTTAGAACTCACACCAGCCAATTAACTTTAAAGTCTCTTCAATGATATAAAGAATCTCAAATCAAGTTTAGAAAAGAAAAGGAGATAATGCCAGTCTCAATGTTCCATCCTCGCTGGTCTTTCTTCCTCTTCCTCTGTCCAGAAAGACTCTCGATGCCTCGCACTCCCCAGCTCAGACAAAAATCACCAGCAGGCCCTGCAGAGGGGCACAGAGCGACACGGACACGTTATTTCCCAGCTTGGAGGGCTGCTGGGTCACCACAGCTTGACAGCAGCACACAGTGAACAGAAAACCCTCTGGCAAAAATCCTCACATCAAGTTTGTAACACGGAGGGCACGGCATCCTTTGGGAAGTGCTGGAGAACGTCCCAGCTCCCCTGGGACATCTCCAGGATGCTCAGGGCTAGAATTTGGTGCAATTCAAGACATTTTGAATGGTGCTACTCAAAAGGATTTGCCAGACCCCCGGACCCACATCAGAGCTGCTCTCGCAGAGCTCCTGGGAAGGGAGGGCAGCCTGGACAGGGAGCCAGGACTGACCCCAGAAGGGCTGAGCGCTGCTCGTTTCCCACCCGGCTGGATAATACTGACGGGCACGAAGTACTCGCAGCACTGCTGACCTAGAGGAGCTCAGACTGAACGACCTTTTCTGGCCTTTCAAGGCTTCCAACCAACGACTCTCGCACACTGACCCGCCAGGGTCCTGTCACCACAGCCAGCAACGAGAAACAGGAGGAAATCACCTTTCCAGACACTCACCAGCAGTATCTGAATATCCACCTTTGTTAAGGGAATGCCCAGCATGTTTGGCATAGGGATCCCGACGCCCAGAGCACCTGCAGGGGACAGAGAGGTCCTCACCCAGTGCTGGAAGGGTGACCCCAGCAACCCCCACCCCAAAAACCTGATCCCAGGGAGGGCGAAGGGCTGGGGAGGCACGAACCACAGCATCACTGCACACCACGCGCCTGCGCTTCCCCTCTGCGCTCGGCCACTGACTGTTGTCAGGGTGGACGGTGTAAGAACAAGGTTGGGACTTTTAATGACAGCCTCAAGATGGGGACTGCAGAGCTTTAGTCGCTCCAGCTCTCCTGCCACAGCTTTCAAACACACATGTACCCCCTCTCCCCTCCCTCACCCCAGTGTCACAGCCAGCCCGTCACCTTACCGTTGACAAGGGGCAACAGTGTTTGCACCAGCAGATCACTGCAGTGCGGCTTCAGGTTTGAGATCTGAACCAGAGAGGGAAGAAGTGGGTGAGCAGCACTGCCCAGCACACAATGAGCTCAGCCCAGCACCGTGACTGGAACACAGCCAGTCCTTGGGACTGGGAATCACTTCCCACTGGCACAGCAAAAGAAGAAATAGTGCCTCTTTTCTTTAAAGTAAATCTGCTTTTCCTCCTTGATTTGTATTTGGTCCTTCCTTTGGGAATCTTTCTACCAGGGAAAGCTCCTGCTGCAGCTCTGTGAGCTTTGCCCAGGCAGGGGTGAATAAACGAACAGACTTCAGGGCTTTACATTTGCATTATCAGAAAAGGCAGGGAGGGAAAAAACAGCAACAAAAACAGCAAAAGAAGGATTGCTACAACCTACAAAGCAGAGCAGCTAACAACAAAGACCCTCAGCAGAGTAATCCATCTCAGCCAGGACAGGTCCCAGCATCACACAGTGACTGTGCGTCCCCTCCTTCCCCAGTGCCGCAGGGCACAGCGCTTGCCCCACCCAGCAAAGCCTGGACTGGTACGAGACACTTACGCTACTGATGCCAACATCAGAAGACTCCAAGGAGAGGGAAATGCTGCAGGAAAGGAAAGCAAACAGCATGTCAGACACCAAGGCACTGGCCAGAGCTCGCAGATCCCTGTGGTGAGACCCCTGTCACCTCCCGGGGCAGTGTCACTCAGCCCACAGGCAAGGGATCCCTGTGAGGTATCGTCGAGGTGTCTGCTGAGGGATCAGGATATTGTAACACAAGAAGCAGGCGCTGGCACATGTGCAAGAGAGAAAAGAAAACAGGAAAATACAAAAGCTTCACCTAATTTTGATTTGTTTGTAAGTGAAGCAGCACCGCAACGGGGCACACGCAAGCTCCGGGCTGCCCGTTCCCCCTCCCACACCCAGGAAAGGAGCCAGGTCACGGTTAGCTGGAAGCAGAGCTTCTAGAAAAAGCACCCAGTCTGGATCTAAAGATCATGAGCTCTGGAGAATTTGCTACAGCTCCTAATCCATCACTGCAATCGCACAGCTATCTCCATAGCCAAAGCATATGCTTTATTTCCACTTTGAATTTCGCTTTTCTACTTCCATTGAATCTTTTTATATCTTTGTCTATTGAATTAAAAGCCCTTGGATGCATTTTGATTCTCTGTATCGCTGCATACAAGTGATGCCAAAGCCGCTTCTAAATCTCACTCTCTGACAAGCTGAATGGTTTGAAATCCTCAAAGCCTACGCTGTAAGGAACACTTGCCAACCTTTAATCATGCCTTGACTGGCACTAATGACAGGACTTCCCTTCATTCCTTTATCACTCACGTTCAGTATCAGACATTTCGAACTACTGCCCAGGATCACAGTCAAGCTGACAGTTACAATTATGCAGGTCACCTCATTTCTCCTCGTTATAAACCAGACACAGACTTTTCCTCCAGTCTCCTCAAACTTTCCCACTGCTGTAACGTTTCCTGAGAGCCAGCGCTGCCTGTCCACCTCGTGCCATCGGCAAGGCAGGAAATCCTTGGATTCGGGAAATGAAATGTCTGTTTTACAGACACTGAAAAACACTTCAAGTCAGTGGCCCCAGAGCCAACATCACACCTCAGAGAATGTCACCAGCCCATCTGAGGGCAGTGCTGCCTGGCTCTGCCATGGCCATGTTGGTCCAACGTTCCTGTTCCTTCTGTCACAGCTGGGTCACCGAGGGACAAGCTCTTACAGCACTCTGAGCATCCCTCTTGCCTCCCTGCTCTCTTCTGGCCACAGCTTCCCAGCAAACTCAACCTGTACCCTTTGCTCCAGGACAGCCAAAGCTTCCCAGCCTGGCAGAGGAGCCACGGCTGTGGCATTGCTGTAGCCTTTGCTCTGAGCACCCTGTGCCATCACCATGGGGACAACTTACCCAGCCAGGGACACACCCAGCACCAGTCTGCCTCCAACAATTGATATGTGGGCATTTAGACTGAGGTCCTGCAAGCAGACAGGGAGAGGATTAGCCCATGGAGACATCCCTATCCCAGCTGCCAGTCACTCGGCCGGCTGCACGCTTCACCAGTTTGGGTCTGGTCAGCCACACTTACGGCCTTCAGCAGCAGGAGGTTGAGGATGGGTCCATCTAAATGCTTAACGAACACCTGAATCATGACCAAAAGCTCGACAGTGGCTTTGTTTTCTTCCAAGAGGATGAGTGGGTTCCCAGACAATGTTAGTGTAATGCCCAGAGGACTGGTCCCATGGCAGGCAGAGCACTGTGGGAATCAGGGACACGTGGAGGTGGCTACTCGTGCCCCACATGCTGGCCAGGCAGGGGACCAGCAGTCCTCTGGTGGATTCCCACAGCCCCTTCACTCTGTAGGGCTTCCCCAAGGTCACACAGACCTTGAACAAGCCAAATTTACAGAGCAAATAGGTCCAACAGCACAGGCCAGCACTTCTTGCTGCGGGCAGCAAGGGGCTGAGGAAGCAAAGATGGACACAAAGGGGACTGTGGGTGTACAGGGGTGCCTGTGGTGCCCAGGAAACAGGAGATGCCAGACATTTATCAGCTCTTTCTGTCAATGGCTGTGAGATGCAAGAGAAGACATTCCCCTGCCCAGGGAGCGGGAGAAGGTCGGCTACAGCCACCGG